ATTTTAAAATCACAAATAATTTAGTAATATATGTAATAAATTTATACACATATCCACATTATGAATCTTAGCCAATATAAGGTAAAGAACCTATATTATTTCCCTCCATTTCCCATTTCATATTAGTAATTTATTTGTTATTATTCTCTTTCCTTTTATCCTTTCATCTCTATTATTTTTTCTTATTCATTCCTTTAAATCTCTCTATCTACCTAAATGTATCTCTTTTTTACACTAGTTTTTTACTCTTGATACTTTTTCACTTACATACACTCCATCCTTCATTAATTTTTCTTTGGTCTTATTCTTTTAACTTATTCTCACATTTTATAATGATATTTATCTATTATACATCTGCACTTATTCTCCCAATATATTAATAATTTATTTATTATTAATCTTTCATTCATTCTCCTTACTCTTATTCCCTTAATATTATTCTTTCTTAGTTACTCATGCATCTCTATTTATTATGAGATTCATGTTTTATAAGGTAGACTATACATTAAAAGTATAGTCTGCCCTATAAATTTACTTAAACATCCTTAATAAAATAATATAAAAACTAATTTTATTAAGAGTATTAAGTTTATTTATAATCCACCCTTTAACACACTTTTTTGATTTATTATTATATATAAATTTTAACCCCCCCCTCTCTCCCTTGTTGTGTGTATAATAGAATTCTTTTAACTTTTTCTCTTGTTGAATATATTAAGAGCCTTTAAGGATTCTTACTTCTTACTTTACTATTTTTATAATTTTTTGGTGATTTAATTTAGTCTTTTGATAAATAGAATATCTAGACATTTTTAAGTTCCTTATAGAGGTTATTTCTTTACTTTTAAGCTATTTGTAAGTGCTCTTACTTCTTGCTTACACTAAGGAGCTAAGTTCATTTAAAACCCATTTTGTACCTTTTAAAGAGAATCCTGATTAAGGATTATTTCTCATCCAATAGTTTATGTTTTATAATTCAATATTGTCTAAATTGCGCAACAATTATCTACTTTTTAAATTGGTTTTTTAAGCTGATATAGTCATTATCAAGTTGATACACATCAATATATGTATTATAATTTGTAGCTACTCATAATCATTATTTAGAAATATGTTTATTCAAAATTATTTACATCTTCAATCATTACTTCCCTTAATCTTAAAATAATAAAGTAAATAAGAATCAATTTGTGAAATGTCACTTTGAATATAATATAATATAATATGTATCTATTCTAAACAAATTACATAATTGAAATAGAAATCAAATTGTATATATATATTTAGGCAAGTTGTTTCAATATTAATAATATGTAGATATAAAAGATAGATTGTTATTTGGTAATTGAAATAGAATTTAGGAATAATTAGTTCGATACTTAATATAATTAAAGTATTATTAAGTATTATTATATAAAAAATTAATTTAATAAGAATTATATGTTTCATGCTCACCAAGAAATTTAAAAATGTATGCATTTAATTTAATCGAGCTTTACCTTCCTCAATGGATTTTTTTTAAGAGATTCATTAGGTATTTATTTGACAATATTTTAAAAGATTTATTAGGTATTTATTCAAAATTTATAAAAGATTTTAACAATTTTTATCACAATGTTATATAAAATTATAAACTTATAATCTTATAGGACATTAAATGTGTGACATATCATTAAATAAATATATACATACGATACCACGAGTAAATCCCATGAATAAAAAAATCAATTATATAAAAATACAATAAGTTACAAGCTTACAATGCCACATGACATTGACTATAATATTTTTATTTTTA